AGTGATCCAAGCCATATAGGGGAAGATGATCCGGTTCGGATAGGGGCAAATGATGAAACTTTGAAATATTTTAAACTTTTGGAAGATGCACAAACTGAATTGTACCCGGGTGTAGACGTCCCCGAACGTCCCGGGGGAGAGATCCTGTTTTGTTCATATGGGCTCACTACAGTTCAGGACTCAAAATGTCACGGTCCTGTATCTAATCTCGCAGAGTGCAATGCAAGACCGATGAATCATCAAAGAGTCCAAATCCGGCAAATCGTTTTTGAAAACTGATTTTTTTGAAAGAAGTGCCAAACATGGACTGCTTTTCCAGATACAGAGTCGCCACCTAAATGTTTATTTTTTGGGAGAATTTAGAAAACCCTGACTCGTTGCCTAAGGCCACGCGTCCGTCATCACCAAAGTTGCCTCGGCTCGGGAACTTGGGTACGATTGGGGAAGGTCACTTCGTGAGCACCCTCGCTCGCCCGATCAAAGATCGGCCTCTACTAACCATGATATCGAGTTTTGAAAACATTATGTGCTCTTATTCCGGTTATTAGCCTAGAATTACTATGCGATGCACACAACATACAAGTATAGACTGGATCATTTGAGTTAGAACAAAACATTTCATGTTTGTTTATTTGAAAGATGGTTTAATGGTGCTACTCGCAAGTAAGCTAAGACGTGGATTTGCCACCCTCAAGTGGGCTTAAGAAAACATGATTTTGCCACTCTCAAGTGGGCTTAAAACTCTCATTCAATGCATTGTTCCAATTCAAATAACCCAACCTCCACCCACAGGCATTCAGGCAGTTATATCACATAAGCAAATAGCCTCATGATAAGCATGCTATCATGGCAGTCACTCACACGCATGCAAGGATGCTAAAGCATAAACACTCACCGAGTACTCCAAGCCAAAACAGAAACTAGTTAGTAATCAATGCATAATCCTAGTTCATGTTAAGATGGCTAATGCAACACATGCAAAATGCAACTCAGATAGGCTCGGCTATTCTAAACATGGCATATGAAATGTAATAGATAACATGTATTCAACTTAGAATTGAAATACAATGCAGTTAATATGATGCGCCGAGCCCGGTGCATGCATGACAGATGAATGGATGCAAACATGCGAGCATATAGATGCTAATTGAAACATGCCTTAAAACTAACCATCATAAACTGGTAAATAAAAGGGAGAAAGATATGGGGTTAGAAGACATACATCACACACACGCACACTTATTACAACATTGCCCTCCTCGGAGGGTCCGAATAAATATTACAAATGAATAACTAATTATTACACAACACTAGCTAATTAACAAATTAACTAAAAAAGCGAGTAGACTAGCATGCAATGCTACATGAAGTAGACTGCCTCAGCTCTGTTCGGAATGATGAAAGATGCATGCATGCTCGAGTCGCTTTGTCGGGAAATTCCTTGCGATGCCCCGATTTGCCTCTGTTTGCAATTGATCCCAGAATACTGTACAAAGCTCCAGAAGGCTGCTGGTTTCTAGTTTGCTGCAACAGAGAGCAAGAAAGGGACATAGCACAGTATTTGTGACACATATGTGCACGACCACTCTCCCTATCATTGCACAAGCTCAAGGAAATGTGGCTCTCGATCCTCGTGCCACCAATCACACATCTCGATGCATGATGGCTGAGGAGTCGAATTGCACGACTCAATATGAAATGAATGCACATATAAACACAACAAGGCCCAAACTCCATCATGGATAATCTAGAGTGTCGGCGACTAGGAATTGAGACACGTTTCATCATTTTGAGTACGAAACGTCCCTCGTTTCCCGTGTGTGGACTAACCCTACTCCAAACACAATGCAATGAGATGGCATACACAATGCGACTAACGTGCAACCCTAAATGCAATGCAACCTAATCATGCTGGCATGCGAGGGATGATATACACATGTACAACCTAGCATACGCAATGCTATAGACTAAAATGGCATACACAATGCACATGAGCTATATGGCATACACAATGCACACATACAAAGATGGACATACACAAAGACATAACCAAAGCATACACAATGCGATGGTCAAACGTGCAACAACATGAGCTAAATGGCATACACAATGCAAGATGGACTTAAACCAATATGAGTGAACCTTAGCCACACTCAAATCAGTGGCCATATGATGAAAATGAGACAACCGAAATACATGCAAACATGCACAAATGCAAAGAACCGATCCTAAGGCACAATATGTAATTCTAACAAAGCATGACAAAGGATGAAATATGGCATAGAATGGCACATGATTCAGCTCTGAAATGTGATGCACAATGGTCCCAAATCATGCAAACACCTCACACGATGCATGCTAGATGGCCCGAATACCGAAACTAGTGAAGTGCGTTACACTAGAGGTACACAAAGCAATGCACAAATAGAAAAACCAACCCCAAACAGACCCTAGGCAGGTCCAAGAAAATGGGAAATTGGTTTAAAACGATGGCTCGGAATGCATGCAAATGAAGCCCATGTAATGGTCGAAAAATGAGGCATTTATGCACAACTCTCAAACGCATTTAAAGAGTGGAAAACATGGGAATATGGCACGCATATAAGCTCTGAAATATGATATACAATGGCCCCAAAATATGGAAACACCTCAACACAAGCATGCAATAGGCCCCAAAACTCAAAGCTAGGCATAGATATTGTACTACAAGCATGCAAAACAAGCATCATTCGACCATGAGACCCAAAAACAAAGCTAATCCAAAACATGCACAAAATCAGTTTAAGGCATGGCCAAAAAGTGCTAAAATCAAGGGCCAAAGCAACATGCAATACAAGCTAGTGAAGAAGGTTTACACTACAAGTATATTAAGCATTCAAGAGGCCACTAAACCAGAAAAATTCAGAGGTATTATATGCTAAATAACCCCAAAAACCCACTGAAACATGGTCTATGCATGCAAAAATGATAGGCTCCTTTGATAGGCTATAAAGAGGGTTGTTCTACACATGCAAGATAGACATCAAAAATGGCAAAATCACCTCTGGACAGAGGTTATGAAGGCCCTAAAACTCACTGAAAAGGGCCTGAAATGAGGCTAGGAAACACGCAAGTAAAGGCTCCTTTGAAAGGCCATGAAGAGGGTTACTCTACACATGCAAGAGGGACACCTAATATGGCAAAACCACCTCTGGATAGAGGTCATACAGGTCTTAAAACCTACCAAAAATGGCCTGAAACATGCTCAAGAAGTGTGCAAACATGGGCTTCTTTGTTCGATCAACAATGCTAGTAAACAAGACAAGGGGTGAGAGGGTCACCCCTCTCTGATTTTGGGGTTCAAAATAGTATGCTAGCCACTAAAAATCCACTGGATTTCAGTGGCTAGAAGGCCAAACAAAGTTCACTTCAAAGGCCTAAATGCATGGCTCAAAACAAGGTGTAAACAAGCATGCAAGGGGGTAGATGGCCCCCAATAGAAAAATGACCTTAAACAAACTTCAAGAGGAGCTCAAAATAAGACTTTTTCAGTTTATTACAAAGCTCAAAAATGCTTGCAAGTAAGGCTAAAATATGAAGCAAAATAAGGACCAAAAAAGGGAATAGGGTGTTACCCTTGAAGCTCAAGAAGACAGCCAACCTTTGGACCAAAAACACACCCTTTAACCTCTGAAAATGGCCTCCAAGAAGCTTAGACCAATGACGGAAGGGTTAGGCTATGGAGTTGTATGCAAAAGGGTCAAGAACCACTCACTTTTTTAAGCCTCAAAGTGTATGGATATAGAGAGATATAACTGTATGCCTTCACCAAAGTTCTGAACCCTTGCCAAGGAAGGAGAGGCCTTCCTTTATAGAGCCAAGGGTCCAAAGCTTATCTTGGAAGCTTGGAAGCAAGATTAAACATCCTCCATACACGTGTATGGAGGATGCAGCAAATGCCTCCCAGCTGGCACAGTTGGAAGCAACTTAGGAAGACAAAACAGGAGGGAGTAAAGCGACCAGTTCAAGTGGTCGGCCAGCCAGGTCGAAAGGTCCAACTCAAAACTAGGTGGTCAGCAGCCCATATTGGTGGTCTCCTAGGTGAATACAACTCAGTGGTGATATGGGAGACCAGTAATTGTGGCCCAAAAGTGAGGGAGACCAGTTTCCCGATAAGAAAACTGGCTGGAGGAGAGAGAAAAGTGGACTCCAAGGAGAAAGCTGGTCTCCAAGGGTAATTGGTGGTCTCCACACTGAAACAAAGCCAGTGGTATGGTGGGAGACCAGTAAATGTGGCTCAAAAGTGAGGGAGACCAACTCTCTAACAAGAAAACTGGGTGGCCAAGAGAAAGGTGGTCTCCAAGAAGAAAAGGTGGTCTCTCACCCTTGTACCACCTTCCTAACAATGAAAATAGGGTCCATGCCAAAAATGAACCCACACCGATGCAAAACGAGAGTTCGGGAGTCAAAACGCGCAGCCGGGTACCCTAAAAACTGACTATCAAGCACCGGAAGTGGCGTGCGACCACGAAGGTGGTCTCCCGGGCCACAGTGTCCCTCTAGGGAGAGGAAACAAGGTGTGCGCCAAAAACCAGAGCAAATGGAGAAATTTAAGCGGTCCCAAACCGAGGCGCACGGCCGACGGCTCTGAAAACCAAAAACTGATCTCCAAACGAGAACAATGGCTTACGACCACGAAATGTAGCCTACAGCCATTGAGAGATGGTCTACGAGACCTCTTCCTCCCTTCGGGAAAAGAAAACAGAACCTAGTTCACAAACCGAGGCAAAGCACAAAAGAGTCCTAAAGTCCAGAGACAAGGCTCTCAGTCGAGACTCTGTAACCTCAGAACGAGCACAATATGCACCATCACCGAGTGCTCAGTCAATGACGTCTGAGTGTTAAGGTCGGTCAAAAATGGGTTGTCTACACCGGGGTGTCACAAATTTACTTCACTATCATTCATTGTTCGAATTTTGCACATGAAGGTGCTCAATCAATGGACCGACAAGTCCGTTGACATGTTACTTAAGCTTTTGAATGAGGCTTTTCCTATAGGCACAAAACTTCCAAGTTCATATTATCAAGCTCGGAAGGTTACTACAGATTTGGGTTTCACGTATGAGACTTTTGATGCTTGCCCCAATAGTTGTATGTTGTTCAGAAAAGAGGATACAAAGCTTGATAAATGTGTTATATGCAGTAGTTCTAGATGGAAACAAAATGGTGGTGTTGGAAATGATGCAAGGGAATCTGGTAAACGGGTAGCAGCAAAACAGATGAGGTATTTCCCTTTGAAGCCAAGGTTGCAGAGATTGTTTATGTCATCGAAAACGGCAAAGCTCATGAGATGGCATGCGGAAGAACGAGTTGATGATGGTGTGTTAAGGCATCCTGCTGACTCCCTCGCATGGAAGGACTTTGATCGGCGAAACACTTGTTTTGCTAGTAATAGTCGTAATGTACGTCTTGGGTTAGCTACAGATGGATTCAACCCATTTAGATCAATGAACATAGTTCATAGCACTTGGCCAATTGTGTTGATTCCGTATAATTTACCACCATGGATGTGCATGAAACAACCAAATCTGATTTTGTCTGTGCTGATTGATGGGCCAAAAGGACCTGGCGATAAGATCGATGTGTATGTGCAACCATTGATTGAAGAGTTGAAGGAATTATGGGATGAAGGTGAACAAACATTTGATGCATCAACCAATGAAATGTTTCAATTGCATGCAGCTTTGTTATGGACAATCAGTGACTTTCCTGCCTATGCCAACTTATCAGGATGGAGTACGAAAGGTGAATATGCTTGTCCTCGCTGCAATGTGAAAACTCAATCATATTGGTTGAAGCATGGTAGGAAGTATTCATACATGAGTCATCGTCGTTTCTTACCAGTTAATCATAAATTTCGAAAGGATAAAGTATCATTTGATGGTAGTCGAGAATGGAGACTAAAACCTCAAATTTTATCTGGATCTGAGACGTTGCATCAGTTGGAATCAGAAGGTGTCCTTAGTCAGTACAAGAGGAATGACCTGAAGGAAATGTTCAGGAGACAAGAAGAGAGGGAAAATAACGGAAGAAAAGGCCATAATTGGAAGAAAAAAAGTATATTCTATGAATTGTCGTATTGGGAGCACAACTTAATAAGACACAATCTCGATGTGATGCACATAGAGAAAAATGTCTGCGATAATATATTGTGGACAATACTAGGAGTTGGAGGAAAATCCAAAGATAATGTGAATGCTCGACGTGATTTACAAGAAATGAATATCAGAAAACCATTGCACTTGCAGTCAAGAGGGTTCAATAAAGTTTATGTACCTCCTGCACAATTCACAATGATCAATGATGAGAAAGATATGTTTCTCAAAGTACTCAAGGAAGTAAGAGTACCAGACGGTTATGCATCCAATATCTCGCGACATGTGCGCTTACAAGATAGAAGTATTTGGGGTCTTAAGAGCCATGATAGTCATATTTTGATGCAACAACTTATTCCTTTAGCTATACGGAGGTCCTTGCCTAAGAATGTGATTGAACCATTGATTGAGTTGAGCACTTTTTTTAGACAATTGTGCTCCAAAGTGAATCGTACAAGTGATTTGGAATATATTCAGGATCGTATAGCAATAACTCTTTGTCATCTTGAAAAAAATTTTCCACCATCTTTCTTTGACATAATGGAACACTTGCCTATACATCTTGCTGATGAAGCTTTGATCGCTGGAGCAATACAGTTTCGATGGATGTACCCGATTGAAAGGTTTCTTCTTACATTGAAACAATATGTGCGTAATCGAGCTCATCCAGAGGGTTTAATAGCTAAGGGGTATTTGATGGAAGAATGCATGAACTTTTGTTCTCGCTATCTCCTTGATGTGGAAACCAAATCTAATCGACCGAGGAGAAACAATGAAGGTGATAACAACATGGGTCGAGCTGTAGGCGAAAGTACAACATTTTATCTTAATGATAATGAATTACAACAGTGTCACCGATATGTGTTGTTCAACACAAGTTCAGTTGCACCGTTCATAAGGTAATTTATCACTTTCCTAGTATTGTAAAATTCTAAAGTGAAATCTATATGATATTTACTATTCTCTTCCAATTTACACAGCAAACACCTTGAAGTCATTAAGAGCAAAATGCCACGTGCAAGCGATCATCAAATTCAATCTGAGCATTTCGAAACATTCTACACTTGGTTTAAGGACCATGTATGTATTTAGACATTTCATTTCACATATCTAAATATACATAAATTTTTATCTGAAGTTGAAGTTGAAGTTGAATTTATATTTGTCTTTTTAATAGGTTCAGACCTTGCGAAGGACAAGTAATATTACATTTACTGAAGAAATCAATAGATTAGCAGATGGTCCTCATACCTTGGCTAGGTGGTTCAATGGTTACATTATCAATGGGTTTCATTTTCGTGTGAAGGTTGTGGATGATCATTGGGTGACTCAAAATAGTGGTGTAGCTTTAAAGGCTGATACAATGAGTTATGCTAGTCGGAAGGACAAGAGTCCTCGCGTCGGTGCTGTGTACTACTATGGACAGTTGACTGATATTGTCGAAATCCGGTACACTAACAATATGAAATATGTGTTGTTTAAGTGTGATTGGATTGATAACACTAGGGGGAAAATGGAAGACGCTTTCAAATTCACATTAGTCAACTTCAATCGTTTGTTGTACCCAACCGATCGTGTTAGCAATGAACCTTTTATATTATCATCCCAAGCCGAGCAAGTTTGGTATGTTCCTGATCCCTTCGAACTAGATTAGCAAGTTGCAGTAAAGATGTCTCAAAGAGGTCTTTTTGATATGAATTCTAATGATGACC